ATTGTAAAATTAACAAGATGATCTAATAAGTAATATATTTATAAACTTAAACAAAACATATATGTACAATAATGATTAGAGGATCATAATAGAGGAGATTGATATTTTGGATATGCATGATTAAGGTTACTAATGATCTATTGATTCTATTAATGATTGCTTAGACAAGCCTTCCGATCCTCTCCGAACATGACCGCGTATGACCGGTGTCGGTCCTTTGGTGTATTGCCCCTCAAAAAAGGTTGTACCCAATTGTGGGTCGTTACTCTCCCTTAGGTAACCACCCATGTATTAGCAATTATTATTTAGAATATATTTATTCATTTGAAATGATTAAAAATATTCCACATGTGGTCCTTACAATTTATAGCAATATATTACCAAAATTCTAGGAGCATTACAGCATTGCAGAAAGTGGCCAAAACTTTAATAATACAAGCCCAATTTACATAAACAATTGCCTAAACGAAGAAATGTAATGTATGATAATAAATAATGATATATAAATGTTATATGAAAGAAATAATGAAATAACCAAACTTCTATTAGATTTGCAAAATTTAAGGAATCACAATGTGATAATAGGTGTCTACTCTAACAATCTATCGAAATTTGAAACGATAAGAATATCACATATTATGAAAGCTTTCATAACCTCCCAAAGTCTAGTCTTGATTGATAAAATATCTAGTTTAACGACGTTTGTGAATGCAAAAGGAAAAAAGTAACGTCGCTTTAGAGTAACCACATAGTGTAGCGACGATACTAGCGACGAAAACAAACACAGGCATTTAATAGAACACCGCACAATGCAGTGACGATAAGAGCGACGAGCAGAGGAACTATAAAAGTGATAGCATGTGTTTTGGAACATTTTTTATGATATTTTGAGGATATCTAAAAAGTTATGAGGTTATCCTCAAAGATTGTTCAGTACAATATTAAAGTGCTTTAGAACCAAGAAGCAATCTACAAAAATGATCCTATACATGTTTTATGAAATCAATGGGTACGGAGATATTTATGAGATTATATCTATTGTATTTCCACATTAAGCAAAAATTGCTCTAAACCGTGAAATTGATATTATTCACAGTAGATGACACCATTTTGAAGTTTAAATCATTTTATAACATTTTTGGTAATTCAAATTAATATTAGAAGGTTCTTTGTTTTGATGATTCAAAAAAGTCATTGACAAGAAAATTGTATTCGGTATCCATCAGTCGGGAATTTCGTGATATTGATATGAAGTTTATATTGACATTGATTTCATATAACTGATACTATTTGATAGCAGACCTTGAAACCTACAACAAAAATACTATAAACGATGAAATGATTTCATACGAAAAAACTAAAATCATTAATTTTGTATTTTTGAAGTTAAACACGCTTTTTATTACAGTAAAAGTAATTAGGTGACGACCAATTACTCCATAGTAAAATAGATGAAATTTATGTTATAAGCAAATCAAATTCGTCTTTTTGAAAATCATATAAATGGGACTTTAGAGGAATTAAATTACGGGTATTTTTTTTATCAAATCAAGACTTCTTCAAGATTTTAGTTATGATCGCCCAACTGGACTGAAGATACCACACTTTTAGAAAAATTTCCTTATTATACTAATTTATAATTATATTAATTTGTTAACTTATTATATTAATTTATGATCGCCAAATATATTATTACAGTAAGGCTCGAAATCGGTTTTGTAACAAATATAAGCTTATTTCATGCTCAAATACCTTGAATGTGGTATCGTTGGATTCAGAATTTCACGGGGGGTTAGCGAATCGTACTCTCCACTTTTGTTTTTCTTTCTAAAATAAATAAAGTCGATAAAAACATTTTGCCAGGCTTCAATACTGGAACGGTAATAGGTCTGTAGATCGATACGGGACAAATTCAGTCTTGAAGATTTTTATGCGTACAGCAAGACCCGGATAGTTCCTCCGGAACTATCGGATCCTGCGTTTTTAAGTCCAAAAACGTACTATTTTCGAGATAACGCAAGGCATAGGGTTCGCATCTTTACAATCTTACATTAATTGTAGTACTGTCATTGAATGAATGTCTCATTTCGTCGACTTGAGGTCACTATGACCGAGAAAGGAGGAGTTTATATCATTTATCGATGTTGTTTTTGATCGTCAAGCGATATCATCGTTAATTTTTCACCAAATCTCAAGATTGAGCCACCAATTTCAAAGGTTTCCTTCTCCTTTAGGCGGGAAATATAGTCCAATTACTCCGAAAATTCAGGATAACAAGTTATGAAAGGAAACAACATTATTTGCGAATAACTAAAAAATTACACACTTTTCCCTTGGTTATGCCCATGATTATATATACTATATTCCCTACAAAATGAAAAAAAAAATCATCGAAATCGATTAGAAATTTTTCCAATATTTTTTTTTCATTTTATTATTTATTCTTCCTTACTTTCGATTAATATTCATTTGGAAAGTTCTATTATAACCTATTTCATTTGAAAATAACTATATATTTGGCATATAGCTATAGTATCAGTACGACGTTTAAACAATTTGTACTGACCGAAGGAGGAAAGTGGGTTCAAATATTTTTTTTAAGGAAACGATCGAGAGAGGAGGAGTTTATATTATTTATCGATGGTGTTTTTGATCGTCAAGCAATATCATCGTTAATTTTTCACCAAATCTCAAGATTGAGCCACCAATTTCGAAGGTTTTCTTCTCCTTCAGGCAGGCAAAATAGTCAAGTTACTCCGAAAATTCAGGCAAACAAGTTATGAAAGAAAACAAACTTTATTTGCGAATAACTAAAAAATTACACACTTTTCCCTGGGTTATACCCATGATTATATCGGTGTAGCGGTTTCACCGCAAACGATGTCTGAGACGTCGATATCTGGCAGTTCTACAGAAAATATGGAAGCTTTAAACTCAAACCAAACTACTGAAAATAATTGGGAACTCGTTACAGGAAGAAAACGCTCAATGGACAATAACAGAGACCCAAGAAAAGCTAAAAAGGTAAGCGAAGTTACAACAGTAACCACAAATAGTTTTGAAGTTTTAACTTAACATTAGTTACGGGTCTGATGCTAACACTAAGCAACCAGTTTCTGTAAAACCTCCCCCTATCCACCTGAATAATGTACAGAACTACACCGAGCTGTTCACATTTCTCCAAAATGTAGGAGGTTTGAACAGCTTTAACCGAAAATCCACATCAAGAGGAGTAACCGTATATCCTGAAAACTCTGACAGATATAGACGGTTAATGATACATATAGATCAGTTAATAGAAGATAGAAATCCAAAAATCGTATTAAAAAACTTACACCATGCTATTCCAATTGAAACCATAAAATACGAATTAAGATGCCTAGGCTACGATGCCACAAGTATTGTGAACGTTATTTTCAGATATAAAAATCCACTTCCCATGTTCTTTATCGATATCTCTAAAGCCACATTTAATGAAACAATTTTTGATATTGAATTTTTATACTATACTAGAGTGAAAATAGAAGAACCAAGGAAGAAAAGAATGATTCCACAGTGCACCCATTGTGAGCAGTATGGCCACACGAAGGCTTACTGCAATCACTCCCCGAAGTGCATGAGATGTGGCCAAGGACATGATAGCACCGTCTGCAAAAAGACAAGTGAGACCGCAGCAGCATCTCGGTCGGTGTTTTATTGCAGGCGGTGATTATAATGCCAAACATCAGTCCTGGGGACCACGACTCTGTACTCCTAGAGGAAGAAATCTAAAGTCTGCCATCGATCAGCTTTCATTAAACACGATCTCACATGATACACCTACTTACTAGCCAACTTCAAGACAGAAAACACCAGATTTACTTGACTTTTTCATTACAAAAGGAATCAGGACAGTTCCGTATACTGTAACTGCAAGCTCTGATCTTTGTTCTGATCATTCTCTTCTCAGTTTGGTACTATGCGATGAGCCTCGTACTGCATCAAAAAAACCAACACTTATAGATAGGATAATCGATTTGGCAAGCTTACAGCGACTACTTAAATTCTACGCTATCAATTCCAATGTCCCTTAAGACCGAAGGGGAACTCGAAAAAGCTGTTGAAAAGTTCACAATCACAATATTCTTAACAATGGTTTATGGTTATATTGGTAACAGTGGTTACCAAGGATACCGAGACTAATCACTTGATCTTACATTTTATTTCATGCTAATATTTCATTTAAAGTTATTGTCCATATTTTAAAAAAATTTAAGTGTTTCTTAAAATATTTTCATAGCAGAGGCAAGTATTTTTAAAGATACATTTCTATTTGCACTTACATTCTACTATATAATTCATATTTATTAAAGAAATCTTGCATTATCTTTATTTTTATTAATATTTTTAATTTTTTTTTGTTTATAGTTACGTTTATTAGTGTATTAGTATATTATTATTAATATATTACGTTTAATAGTATTAAGGGTTATACTCATAACCAAAAAAAAATAGGTGTTTCATAGAATATTTCCACCGAAAAGACAATTAATTTTAAGGATACATTTCTACTCTATCGTTACAATGTTATAACAGAATTTAAAGTTAATAACTAATGGTTACTAAGGTAACCAGAAGCAAACAGATAATCACTTGATCTAATATTTTGTTTCATGGTAATATTTCACTTATATTTTCGTCAATATTTAATAAAAATAAAGTTACAATATTTCTACTATGGAAGCAAATATTTTTTCATAGCTAATTTACTGAGATACTGATAGTAATTATTGTATTTAGAAGCATTTCAAATCAAATTTAAATAGATTTTGGATATCTAGCATTTCTCGCCCTTGATTGGTGACTAAACAGCGAAAACAGCCTTTAAATCGGGGAAAGTGAGACTAAGAACCATTTACCAGGTGAGGATATTATGTTGCTATAAGTTTCTTCCTGTCTATTTTTTAACCTATTGCTTCATAATATCTGTTTTCGCTATTTACTTTTAGTTATACACAAAGATGGTAAGGAAGGTTTATTTGAGCTATCGTAGATCCAAAAGAAACAGAAATCAGGATACATATTCTTCAACTAACAATGCAGGTGATGTTTTATATGCGGGATTTCAAACCTATTAGCTCTGATTTAAGCGTGTATCATTACTAAACTAATATTTATTGTAGGGGATGAACCATCCTTCTTAGGCCCTGAAGGAAAAAATGCAACGGCTGGCCCTTCTTTTGTTACTGAACATGGTAACTTGATACATTTCAAAATATTGAATGAACATCACCTCTATATACCCATCTATCTATTTATTTATTACAGGAGGTGGCACTGTGCCAGTAGAGGCTTTAAAATCTGCAATACAGGTTGAGCCTGTTATAGTGCTGCATCATCGGATTCAACCACTCTACAAGGTAACTCATTATATTCAAATAAAACACAACCGCGGGTGCTTGCATATTTACAACGGTTTATTATTGTAACAAGAAGCCTGTCTACTGAAAGGCCAGATTTGGTAAGAAAGAAGAGACGAAGGGAAAAGGGAAAATTTCATTGGAAAACATACAAGTACCACCTATTCTTCAGGAACTTATATCAAAAAATGATAAGATATCCTAACAATTCCTACATAACCTAAGACAATACAATAATGCTTTTGCATTCGCATCAGTAAAAGTAAATTCTATTATATTGAGTTTTAGAGGTCCTTATTGTTTTAAAATTCATGGTCAAGTGTACCATCAGGCAGAAAGTTTAAATGTTCCAGGTCAGATTCCTTCATATTCGTCTCTATTTATTATCGATTCAAGCAAGGCTTTAAAATTAAGAATGACCCATTCTGCTAATGCCCAATGTTCAAAAGAAATCATGAAGTTGTTGCAAGACCTCTTGGCTGTGTTAAACCCTTATGCTCAACTATTCCGCTCAATTAAGGATGCTCCTTCTCACGTTCAAGATTATAAATTAAATTTTACAATAGGTAATGCCTTCGACAAAAGGAGATATAATTTACCAGCTGATCAAAGTGAGATTGCTGCATTCTTCACGACAACAGATGGCACCTGGCAATTACAAGTTTGTTGGTTATTACAAATCTACCAAGGGTTTGACTAATATAAATGATCTCAATCCACATTGTGACCCAATGTGCTATCCACTTTTATTTCCATGCGGAGAATCAGGTTGGAAACCTGGAATGGAGCATGTTGATATACATAGGACCAATGTGCGAAATACCACAACCCAACTTCAGTATTATTGCTATAGATTGGCTCAAAGAGATGGCTTTAGCTTAATACATTCTGCAGGGAAATTGTTTCAACAATATATAGTAGATAGTTATGTGAAAGTAGAAGGGGCAAGGATTGCATATGTGAGAACGCATCAAAAAGAATAAAGGGCCGAGACATATAGAGGCTTGATGGATTATATGCAAAAGAAAGAACAAAACTTCCAACCAGAGATAGGTGTAATATTGCCTTCCACTTTTATCGGCAGTCCCAGAAATATGGTTCAAAATTATCAAGATGCAATGTCTATTGTTAGTAAATTTGGCAAACCTGATTTATTCATCACATTTACATGTAATCCACGATGGGAAGAAATCACTTCAAACTTAAAGCCGTTTGAGGAAATTAACAACAAGCCTGACTTAGTAGAGAGAGTATTTTACTGCAAATTAAAAATGTTTTTAAACGAAATTTTGAATGGTCATATTGTGGGAGTAGTATCAGCATACGTTCAAGTTATTGAATTTCAGAAAAGGGGGTTACCTCATGCACACATGTTGCTAATTCTTCGAAATATTGATAAACTCAGGGAAATAGAAGATGTAGATGCTTTGGTGAGTGCGGAAATCCCTGACCCACAAACTAACTCCAGGCTATATAACATTGTCAAAAACTGTATGATTCATGGGCCATGCGGGACTATCAATCCAAAATCGCCTTGCATGGAAGACGAACACTGTACTAGGCGTTTTCCAAAAGAATTCGCTGATGAAACATCATTAAACGTTAATGGGTATCGATATATAGGCGAAGAAATAATAGAACTATGATAATAATAAAAAACAATATTGTTGATAATTCATGGATTGTACCCTACAATCCATATTTGTCGTTAAAGTATAACTCACATATTAATGTTGAAATTTACTCTTCTATTAAGACTGTTCAACTATTCAAATAGAATCAAATAATGAGCATTTTTCTGACGTGGTGCAGCAATTCCTAAACTGCAGGTATGTTAGTCCAACAGAGGCGATGTGGAGGTGACATGAAAGGCCTATGTACAGGAAATCCCATACTGTTGAACGATTACCCATTCACTTGCTTAACGAACAATTCATATACTTCCAACCTGACAAACCTATACAACCTAAATATGAAAAAGAAGCAAAATTAACAGCTTATTTTAAACTTTGTTGTGAAGATGAAAACGCCAAGAAATTATTATATGCTGAAATTCCTAAACATTACACGTGAAAAATGGAATGTGGAAACAACGTAAAAGAAATACTAACACTTTTGGCAGAATTTACACAGTTAATCCAATCGTTAAAGAACTCTTCAGCCTGAGGTTACTATTACTTCACAAAAGGGGACCTATCAGTTTTAATAATTTGAAAACTGTTCCATGGGAGGACGTGTGATTCTTTCACAGAGGCAGCACAATCTTTGAACTTGCTACAAAATGACGGATATTTATTTAATTGCCTTCAAGAAGCAAGTAGTTTTGAAGTGCCTAAACAATTAAGACAACGTTTTGCAATCTTATGCATTTTTTTCTCAATAAATGGCGCGATGCAACTGTGGAACGATTTTAAAGATTCCCTTTCCGAGGATTAACTTTCCACTTACAATGAATCTGAGAGATATAACAAGGTTTTATGCGAAGTAGACGAAATTCTTAAGGTACATGGTAAGAACATACGGGCTTTTGGCTTACCACCCATATTCGAACAGCCTTCGCATGAAAGTTCAACTAATTGGGAACTTTCAACGAACTGGGAAGAAAAACAGCAGAGAAACAGCATGTTTGAGCAATTAAATAAAGAACAAAAAAATATCGTTAATGAGGTTCTAGATACCCTACAACGAAACAGAAGTCAATGCTTCTTCATAGATGGGCCTGGGGGAACGGGTAAAACATTAATTTACCAAACTTTAACACACATACTTCGAGGACTAAATAAGAGCGTTTTGTCTTGGCATGGACGGGTATTGCTGCTGTACTTCTTGACGAAGGCAGGACCGCGCATTCAGTTTTCAAATTCCCTGTTCCTTTACTACCAGACTCTACATCATCGATAAGGCTGAATTCCAAAGAAGCAGATATCATTAGAACAGCTTCAATCATTGTTTGGGATGAAGATTCGATGGTACCAAAAGATGCATTCACTGTATTAAACAAACTACTGAAAGACATTATTAATTCGGAACTAATGTTCGAAGGGAAAATTATAGTGTTTGGTGCGGACTTCCGACAAATATTACCAGTGGTAAGGAATGGAAATAGAACAACTATTGTCGAAGCAAATATTAAGAAATCGCCGCTTTGGGACAACATTATCAGTAGAAAACTCGAACAAAACATGAGAGCAGCTGGGAATGAAAACTTCAGCAAATAACTTTTAAAATTAGGAGAAGGAACTTTACCAATCCACCAAGATGTTTCATCAATTAGTATTAGTATTCCCAAACAGTGCCATCGTACATTTGAACAATTAATTAATGACACGTTCGGCACTGATGTAATAGATGATAAGAATATCCATAAATTTGTTAAAAGTGCAATTCTGTGTCCAAAGAACGAGTACTGTGATAAAATTAACAATCATATTATAAAAAATCTGGTGAAAGGGGAAAGCAAGATATATTACAGTTTAGATTGTGTTCTCGGTGAAGATTCTATGAATGAACAACTGTACCCTACTGAATTTCTAAACAGTATAAACGCTTCAGGACTACCACCCCATGCATTAGTTCTAAAAAATAATACCATTATTATAATAATTAGAAATTTAAATTCACGTCAGGGTATCGTCAATGGCACCAGATTGATTGTTCATCGTTTAACAGAACACACTATCATTGCAAAAACTATTGATACGGGTCAATTTATCATAATCCCTCCAATCATTCTCAGTCCATCTGATCCCAGTATGCCCTTTACAATGAGTCGCAAACAATTTCCTGTCAAAATTGCATTCGCATTGACGATTAATAAATCACAAGGACAGACTTTAGATAGAACAGGAATTTATATCCCTAATCCTGTTTTTTCTCATGGACAGCTATATGTTGTATTCTCGAGAGTAAGGTCTTTCAAAAAAGTAAAGATTGCTATTGAAGAATCACATACGCAGAAAATAACAAAGAACGGAGTCATTACATCAAATGTCGTGTTCAAAGAGGTTCTATAAGTTGTTCCACAAATTCATTCTTTACAGTTTTATATTTCGCACTTTGTTTTTTGTTTTTTTTTTCACATTTATGTATGTATTAATAATATCTGTTATTGAATAAAATTATTTTTCTTTTTCCCTATTATATTTAATAATTTTATCAAACCTTGAATGCCATTATAAAGTATTACTGTATTACCATTACCATTACTGTTGTAATCAGCTATCTATATATACCTATCTTATTATAATTATTGTTTATCATTATTAGTTTTTTTAATTTAATAAAAATTCCTCAAAATCACAACCGGTCAACAAATTCAATTGGCATGTTTTGAACATAAATTTTAATATTTGTTTAATACATTAATTTTTACCAATCTACATATTTATTTTGGCAACGCTCTTTTAATTTTATCGGCAACGCTCTTTTAATCTGTATTTTATCGGCATACTGTTATCATATATATTATAGTCTACTGAACCTTTTTAATACGTTTTTATTATTATTTTTAATTATAAACCATTACAATCAAATGAGATATATACACTAATTTCCATATTATAATACCATTTGATTACTGGCTGATATATTGTGCCAATTATTCGCACCGGCCTACTATTAAATATATAACTATTATATTAAATTTATCTTATATAATTTAAATTATATTAATTTGATGTTCGTTACAGAGAAAGTTGAGGTTCATCTCTAATTGATTAAAATGATTATTAGTACGGTGCAATTAGAAATTGACCCAACATTAAAAATATTAAGATGAAATGTGTAAGAAATCGTTTATTACCTTGCCATAATTACTAGTAAAAAGATAAAACGTCGGCTTTTGATGGGGGGAGGAGGGGCGGAAATGACTGAAAACTGACTTGATTTTAAGAATATAAGCTTGCATTGTATATTATTTAATTATTTATATAGTTTTAATTGAAAAAAACGAATGAAATTTATATAAAGTAGTCTTTCAGAAATAATATCCTAATAATCAAATCAATAGTTTTTAAACATTTTCAATTACATTGAAATTAAAGAAGAAAAAAATCAGTTTAATACAACAATTTTTTGAATTTATTATTTAATTAATTTTTTTATCTGAAATAACTTTTCTTTCTAAAGCCCTTTATATGCTGTATCATCGTTGTTTTTTACATAAGGCTTCAGGGCATGAAACATCCTGAACATCAATTCCCAATGTTTTTATCATTTATAAATTAGAAAAAAATAAAAAAATAAAATTGAAAAAATAGTGATGGAGTAAATAACCGAAAGGTACAATAAAAAAAAAATTCTTTATAACATTCATTTTTTAACAACTCATAAAAATTAAAAGATTAATTTATTTGAGTTTCTTAATTTTTTAATTATTTTCAAATGGTAATTATTATAAACTAGTTGGCCCGTGCGAATAATTTACAAAGAATACTGGTCCATGAAAAAATGACAAAATAATAAGGAAATTAAATAATTCAACGTATTATGAAATGAAACAAATAATTCATATTTTTGTGGCAATTGTAATTGACGAAGGAAAAGAAAATTAATATAAAACTTCGTTAATGTTTTAAACCGAAATCTTTACGAATTACATTTATCTACGTTCATCATTTATACGTTCAACATTTATCGAATTACGTTTACGTGTATCTCACATAATAATTTTGATTTTTTGGTAATCAAGTAGTCTTTCAAAATAATCATGCAGTGTGGATGCAGATATACTTGATACCCTTTTGAACCAAGACTAAAACAAATTATGATTTAAAACTAGGTCGAATTCTATGAACTGCCAAAAACAGAAAAAAATAGCTCGCTAGAAAGTGGAGAAATATTAAATGCAATAAGACAACCGAACTGAAAAAAAAACACCAGGCCACGACAATATTATTACAGACGTACTACAACATGTAACAAACACCTGCCCGAATTCAATTACCAATATTTATCAAATGATTTGGCTTTAGGAGAAGGTGCTAACAATTTGGAAAAAATATGTTCTACAAGTTATATCTGAACGAGCCTCTGACAAACTTGGAACTACAACAATTCTGCCTATTATTGGAAAAATGTTGTATACAATTTGAAACAATATATCATTTAATTACAACATTATAGAATTATAAATTGTAATCAATTCGGTTTCACGCCGAGAAAAAGTTCTGTAGATGCCCCTTTCAAAACACTCGAAATTATTAACATGACCTTTCAATCCAAGTCAAACGTCTTAATGATATCACTCGATATTTTGATACCACTCGTCTGCATTCAATACTTCCTGAAGGCCAATGATCCTTGAAATTTTTTTTTTTTTATTATTTCTTTATGACATTTAGAACTGTATTACATAAATACATCAAGTAAATTTGGACATAATTGATATAATGACATGAATACACTTGCTGAGTAACTACCCAATGGTAGCACTCTAATGATATGACCACATTAGGAGATGACCACGGGGCCATCTTCTTTTCAGACGCCTCGGAGGGTTATCAGGAATTGAAGAGGAAGCAAGGTTAGAAACGAGAGGGTTGGGATGATTCTGAAGTTTATTATGGAAGGATAGGTATCTGGATTGGGCCAGATCTGAAACATAAGGAACATTAAGATCTTTATGGATAATTTTATTAGTGACAAA